GTGGTTTGCCTTTCCTTTTCCAGCTCATTTGACAGATAAAGAAACTGAGGCAAATGGGTTAAGTGACTTGCCCAAGGTCACATAGCTAGTAAGTATCTGAGGCCAGATTTGAACTCAGGTCTTCCTGAATTCTAGGCCCAGAACTCTATACACTGAGCTACCTAGCTGCCCTAGTGCTCCTTCACTTAAAGTCACTTAAAGCTTTCTTGAAATCCCTAGGTAAATCAGTGAACTGGGCTTTTGGAATAAGGTGGAGATCTAGTTGGGCTAATAATAATACTATTAATAATTCACATATGCATAATGCTTTAAGGTAAATTTCTTGAGGACTTTTCATCTTTCTTTGTATTGCCAGTGCTTAGCACGGTGCCCAGCGCACAGTAGGAGCTTAATAAATACTTGTTGACTTGACAAGGTGCTTTCTCCAAAATAGCCCCGTGAGTGTAAATAGTGGTATCCTCGTTTTGAAGATGATGAAAAGGAGCTTTAGAGGCTTTAAATGACGTGTGCAGGACAACACGACTAGCAAGTATCTGCGCCAGGATTTTGATCCATGTCTTTCCTAGTTCCCAGTCCTGTCCTCTACATTATGCCATGAAGAATGAAAGCTTGGACAGGACCTTAAAAAGTCCTACCTGTCTGCCTTCAGTTAGGACGACAGGCAGACCTTGGAGATACTGCCGGCTTGGCTCCAGAGCCCCACAATCAAATGAATATTGCAATAAAACAAGTCCCACGAATATCTTGGTTTCCTGGTGCGTGTAAAATTTACATTTACATTCTACTGCAGTCTAGCAAGCGTACAACAGCATTATGTCATGCTAGCCATCATCTGAGCCTTCAGCGAGCCACGATCTTCTTGGCGGTGGAGGGTCTCACCTTGCTGTCGATGGCTGCTGACTGCTCAGGGTGGTGGTTGCTGAAGGCTGTCTGAAAATAAGGCAGCAGTGAACTTTGCCGCACCAATTGCCTCTTCCTTTCACAAAAGATTTCTCTGCAGCATGCAATGCTGTTTGATGGCATTTTACCCACAGTAGAGCTTTCAAAATTGGAGTTAAGCTTCTCAAATCCTGCTGCGCCGTTTTTCGACTAAGTTTATGTCATATTCTTCAATATTGTTGTGTCTCAGGGAAACAGGGAGGCCCAAGGAATAGGGAGAGAGACGAGGGAATGGCTGGCTGGTGGAGCAGTCAGAACACACCCAACATTTATTGATTCAGTTTACAGTCTTATGTGGGCATGGTTCATGGCGCTCCCAAACAATTACAATAGTAACATCAAAGATCATTGATCACAGATTACCATAACAGACATAATAATAGTGAGAAAGTTTGAAATTTGTGAGAAGTACCAAAATATGACACAGAGACACAATGTGAAAATATATTATTGGAAAAATGGTGCCGATAGGCATGCTCAATGCAGGTTTGCCACAAACTTCAATTTGTTAAAAAAAAAAAAGTAATGCAAGATCTGCAAAGTGTAATAGCGTGAAATGTAATAAAACAAGGTATGCCTGTACTTATGCCTTATAATTCCTAGGCAGATAAAAATGTGGCCTATAAGAACTTTTAAGTTCTTCAGAGAACAAAATTTTGCCATTTTTCTTGTTAACATCTTTTTTTTGTTTTGTTTTGGTTTGGTTAGGCAATGGAGGGTTAAGTGACTTGCCCAGGGTCACACAGCTAGTAAGTGTCTGAGGCTGGATTTGAACTCAGGTCCTCTATCTGCTCTATCTGCTGTGGGCTGGGGCTCTATCTGCTGTGCCACCTAGCTGCCACCTCTTGCTAACATCTTTAACAATACTCACTGTCAGACAGTACTTCACAATAAATTCCTGGTTGTAGTCATCTTTTGTTATCACTAAAAATAGAAAATAGCTGTTTCCAATATTATACACTTAAGCCTTTGAATACTCTTCGTATATTTAAAGAAGTCAGTCTCTCCTTCACTTTTTGAACAACCTTTAATCATATATTATTGGTTAAAAATACTCTAATAGTTGTGTGTGTATGTGTATGTGCACATGTATGTATATGTATATATACTTATATGTATGTATGTGTATATATATATATACGTATGTGTGTGTATCTGAGTGTGTGTGTGTGTGTGTGTGTGTGTGTGTGTGTGTGTGTGTGTAGGTGCTGTGTTGGATGCTGGGGATACAAAAAATGAAATGAGCCTTAACCTCAAGGATTTTTTACAGGATAGCAGGGGAGATGAAGCATTATACAATGGACTTTAATGCAAACTGTCCATGGGGTGCCCCCTCCCGTGAGCCAATAAGAAGGTTCTCTCCAATCTTAGCCTCTGTAGACCCAAGTTCAGTGGAACTCTGCCCTCAAGGAGAAGGGATAAAGCTTCTCTCTTGAACTCTTGGACTTCTATTTCCTTCATCTCTGAGTCTTGTTTTTTTTTTTTAAATCATGCCCAGATTTATTTCGAAGTTAGGGGTAAGCAGTGGGGCTCAGGTTTGATCAAATAGAAAATAATAGTATCTGGCAGTGAGTAAGTAACTCTTTCCTTAGAAGCCTGTTATTGCTTTGGGTAACTCCTATGTTTGTTCCTCTATACTTGTGTTTCCCTCCACATTTAAATTTTTTAAAAAAAATTTTAGTCATTCTGAACTTGAGGGACACCAAGTCCATATATGGCCATTTGTATCTATAAAGAACAAGAAAAAAAGGATTGTGTGTAAAACCATGAATGTACTTTGGTACAACTTGCTTTTTAGGGAAGATATGGAATAAATTTAACAAGTTAGTTTCAAAACTGCCCTACTGTTTGTATCTCCCTCTGAACTTTCTCTTATTTTCTTCTGTGCATTTAAAATGTTTCAATGGACTTCTTTTTATATTTTTAATATTTTTCTATTTTAGCATGACTGTCACTAGCCCCATTTTCTTCTTTCCCAAATTAAAAAAAAATCCTCCCTTGTAACAAATGAATAGATTCAAATAAAACAGAATCTGCATATTGGCCATGTCTGGATGAATATGTATGTCTCCTGAACTCAGGGCTATCACCTTTCCATCTGGGGTGGGGAGGGTGCCATGTTTTTCCACTGGATGTGGAGAGGGTGGCATGTTTCATCCTCAGGGCGCTGGAATTGTGGCTGAGAGTTCTTCAAAACTTTTCAGAGTGTTTTCCTTTATGATGATATTATTGCATAGAGGAGGGAATTCTTAGCCTTTTTGTGTCATGGACCCATTTGGAAGGCTGCTGAAACCTATGGACCCCTTCTCAGTGTCATATTTCAAAATAATTGAAGGGAATGCTAAACTTCAATTAGAGGGTAGTGAATATGAAGATGTTGATTTTTCCCATTTAAGTTTACAGACTCCCATGGAACCCAGATTAAGAACCCTTGGCTTCTTAAACTTGAACAAGAGCCTCATGTTGTCCTGGTTCTGCTCTTTTGATTCTGCATCAGTTTGCATAGATTTTCCCCGGTTTATCTCAATTTATCCCTTTCATCATTTTTTGTGGCACAACAATATTCCCTTCCATCTATATGTCATAATTTGGCCATCCTTTCAAAGAGAAAATAACATCTCTTAAAGCTTGGTTTTGGCTCATGCTAGGGTCCCCTGGAAGGAATTAATAGAGTCCCTTTTAGAGAAGTTGCTCAACAAACTAGTAGATATCAAGAATAGGACAACCACTTATTTCAAATATCACAAAAGCAATGCTTAAAGCACAAAAGACTCCTAAGTCTGAATTGACAAATACTTGAAATATGAGACAGTAACTCATAATATACTCTCTTGGGAAGTAGGAAAGACTTCAAGGAGATGTGGGAATGTTCAATTGGAAGAGCAACTCAAAGTCCAGGTCTTCTCCTCTGAAAAGAATGTAGTTGCAGAAAACATGTCTTGTTAGCACCCTATAACTCCTAGCCTCTTAATTCACAAGACTATAAACGTCCGTCTCAGGATCACTGATTGGCCAATTATAGTCAGGGAAAAAACAAAGTGAAAAAGGCAGCTAGGGATTGGATTTTCAGGCTTAGGCTCACCTAGGCAAGTAGACATGCTCGCTACTATGTGTGAGTAGTCATCATAATTGTTTCTGGAAAGTGGTAGAGAAATCTCTATTGGCCACTTGTTCAAAAGGGAAGAAGAGAAAACTAGAGTGGACGTTGCTCCTCCTTTCAAAGCTTCTCAGGTTGACAGCCCTTCCTAGTTAGTTGACAATTATCTTTGACACTGCTCCCAGTAATGGGATCTATGGGGACAAACTAGGAACCTCTGCTCCAACGGGCTAACTTGGGGTTCATCAGAAGGATCTAGGATACCCTCAGCTTCATAGAAATTACCCCAGTCTAGCAGATCAGGGGGGTGGGCTGCCCTGATTTTATCTCTTGGCCCTGTCATAAAAGTTAGGATGTATTTAAATGCAAAGGAGGGAGAAAAAAGAGTGGAATTCAAGGCAGGATAGGTCACTTATGGAGGTAAGAGACCTAAGAGAGCATTGTGGAGGAGGTGGTCCTTGAATTTGGCCTTGAAGGAAGAGGATTGCAAAAGACAGATATGGAGGTCTGTGTTCCAGGTATAGTGGATAGTCAGGGTACCTTTAGTCTTTAATTTCAACTATTCTGTCCCCCTATCTCACCCACTACATGTGTGTGGGAAACTAGAAAGTTCAAGAGTCCGTGGAAGAGAATGAATGAATGGGAGAAAAAAAAACATTTAGTAAGCCTTTACTTTGTGCTAAGCACTATTCTAAAGTGTGAGGATACAAAACCTTTCCGTGAGCTCATATTCTACTTTAGGGGGACAACATATAGAAGAAAGCTGAGCTATGAGGCAGAGACTTCCTAAGGATTCAGTGGTGGAGTGAATGGCAAGATACACCAGCTGGTCAGATGGTAATATTTGAAGCTTTGGATGGTGTAGCAACAGGGCAGATAGTAAGTCCCAGAGGATCTTGGGAGCAAAATGAGGAAAAAGAGAGTTCCTTGAGCACATTACTAAATCCTTCAATTCTCTTTTTAGGCCCGTGGTTCTGCAGGTGGCAGGAGGAGGAATGATGCTGCCTCTCAGGAAGACCAAGATAAACCGTACGTCTGTGATAGTAAGTATAGCCTCACTGCTCTTCCTCTCTGTCCCTTTTCATGTCCTCTCATCCTACTGTCCCTTACAAATCCCTTGGCTGTCAGCCTGGTCCACCTGGCTTCAGTTGCCATCAGGGCTTCCTCATGCCTCCTCTTTAGGGAGATTCTTCTTCTTCTTCTTTTTTTTTTTTTTTGCTGTTCCTGGCTTGCATGTTGTGGTCTGCTGCTGCTGCTGCTGCTGTTAGTGCTACTGCTGCCACTGCTGCTGCTGCTGTTGCTACTACTGCTGCAGCTGCCTCCTTCTCCTCCTCTTCCTCTTCCTCCTCCTCCACTTGCTGCTGCTACCTCCTCTGTGAGTGTTTCTGCATGAGGGGGAAAGAAGTGAAATGGAAAGATCCCTGCAGCAAAATTCCTGCTGTGCCCAGGGCTGCAATAGTTCAGCTCTCTGGCATTGTGCTCTTTCATGGCTTCTCTCTCTCTCTCTCTCTCTCTCTCTCTCTCTCTCTCTCTCTCTCTCTCTCTCTCTCTCTCTCTTCTTTTCCTCTCTTTCTCCCTCCCCGCTTTCTCTCCCTTCTCTCTTCTCTTTCTCCTCTTCTTTTCTTTCCCTTTCTCTTTGTCTCCCTCTTTCTCTGTTTTCTCCTCTCAATTTCCCTTTCTCTCTCTTCCTCTCCTCTTTCGTTCTCTTCTCTCCCTCCTTTCCCTTTTTCTCTCTCTTTCTCCCCCTCCACTTTTTTCTCTCTTCCCTCTACCACTCTCCCATCTCTTCTCTTTCTCCCCTCCCCATATCCTATTCTCTTTCCCTTCACTGTCTCCTCTCTCTGTCTCTCTCTCTTTTTAAGATTCACCCTCTATTTCTTTCTTTGTTTCAGATAGTTACAAACAAAAGCATAACACAAAAACCTCCGAAAAAGGTACTTGGTTCTTGTATCTTTTCATTTGTTATTCCCACTAATTTCCTTCTTTTCCCTCCTTCTTTATGTAGGGAAAGCCATGAATCTATATGATGGTGACTACTTTTATTTTAATCAATTTTCTTTCCTCCCTCCCTCCACCTGGCACCATACAGTCTTTCCACTTCACTAAAGTCTCTTTGATGGGTAACTGGCTATCCCTGGAAGCTGGGATAGCAAATAATATGGCAATAGGACAATGAGAAAGAAATGGTGGTTTTGTGAAGGGACAAGGAACCTGAATCTATCAAAGATTTATATACTGAAGAAAATGTGATCTGCCTTAATAAAGAGAAAGATTTGGTCTTCTTTCCAAGTATAGCACCCATAGTATTGTCTGCTGAAAGCCTTTGTGCAGACAGAAGCTCCTGTCCTAGATAACTTCTCATTGTCCAGGACACCCTCTACTTCCACTCTAGCAAGGGCACTTCTTAAAACCACAGTCCCTATTAATCTTTCTTTTCCATCTGTTCACCAATCTGAGAAGGCACACCATCTCTGCAAGTGACTACTCTCACCAGCTCCCTTTCAGAATGCCAGAGAGGCAATGCACAGAGAGTTTTGGGGATTGTCTAATATTTGGATATTGACATTGGGAATATGTTCTGGAGTCATGAACCCCCCATGTTTTAAAATAAAGTTTACAATTATGAGCATACTTATGTAATATATTGGAATAGGGGTAAAGGGCAATCAATGGTAGGTGGTAATGAGTGACTTAAGGCAGAGTAGTGACTTTCCCTCTATATTGATCTTAAAAAGTTGTTCATCTTTCAGTAGAGAGCGATATAGCTGGAGTTTATTTTGTTATCAAACCCTCCAACCTTATTCAGTGACTCACTCAGCAGATGGGAACCAGTTTTCAATGGGAAACAGCACAGTATGGAGGGAACAACTCTGGATCTGCTCTCAGAAAAATTAGGTCTGAACCCCGGCTTTCTTGAATCCCTTCTGCAATTGACTCTGAGCAAATCACAACCTCTCCAGTTCTTAATTTCTTTATGTGTAAAATGAGATGGATGGGCCAGATGATCTCTAAGGTATCTTTCAGGTCTAAACCCCATAAACTTATATTTACTCCTATAGGGAATGGGCCCATAAGTAACACCATTCCAAGAATAATTTGGGGGTATTAGAGTATTCCAATGTCATCTTTCCATCATACAATCAAGGTGAGATAGAACCTGTTCTGAGCCTGGGTAACAGACATAGTTTAATTTCCCGGATGAGGTTCAAACACATCCCTTCCTACATCAAACATTTGTCTTGATCCACTGTAATCCTAGCCTGCCAGTTCCCTAAAGGTCTCTGTTGTTCTGGGGTAATGAAATGTGAAGTTTCCTTGGCCCCTTCAAAGAAGGGTCAATAGTTTTGTCTTCTTGCCAAAGAAGGCATTTCCATGTATGAAGAAAAATGGGATATATCCAGAATACCTGTCTCTTGATCTGTGTGAGTTTTTAAAAGTTATCTGTCCTTTTCTTGTGATTTAATATCATGAGGAATTTCCTTACAGAAGCTGAAATAGTTTAGCCCTTGAATGACAAAGGTTTTGCATTGGCTTCCCAGCTAAAGCTGACTTTAAACTTGGATTTTTCCAAGACGCCTGTGTGCTCCTTTTCTGCCTGCCAGTTTCTATTTCCTTTCCTTACCCATTTTACCTCAGAAGCTCAGCCCCTGTTTTCTTTGTTGGATGCTTCTTTTCTGGGCGTGATACTCTTGCCCATCCTTCCCTTTCTATATCTCTCTTCCCTATGCAGCCACAGGATAATATCCTTCTTATAAACCATTTAGGTCAAAACATGTTTGGTCATAAATTCTTCCTTTATTCACAAATCTGACAGGCAAAATATTCCATGCCCTCCTAATTTGTTTATGATATCACCCCTATGTCTAAATCATGTACCCATTTTCACCTTCTCTTGGTATATGGTACAAGATGTTGGTCTGCACCTCATTTTTGCCAAACCAGTTTCCAGTTTTCCTGGCATTTTTTGTCAAATAGTGATTTCTTTCCCCCAAATCTTGGATGTTTGAGTTTGTCAAACACTGGATTACCAAGGTCATTTACTATTGTGTATTGTGTACATAATCTATTCCACAGACCTACCAGTCTATTTCTTAGCCAGTGCCAGATTGTTTTGATGATTACCACTTTGTAATCTTGATTGAGATCTGGTACTACTAAGCCACCTTCCTTCACATTTTTTTTCATTGATTCCCTTGATATTCTTGATGTTTTGTTCTTCCAGATGAATTTGTTTATGATTTTTTTCCAGCTCTATAAAATTTTTTTGGTAATTTGATCCTTATGGCACCAAATAAGTAAATTAATTTAGGTAGAATTGTCATTTTTATTATATTGCCTTGGCGTACTCATGAGCAATTAATATTTCTCTAATTGTTTAGATCTGACTTTATTTGTGTGAAAAGTGTTTTGTAATTGTATTCATATAGTTCCTGGGTTTGTCTTGGTAGGTAGAATCCTGAGTATTTATATTGTCTGCAGTTATTTTAGATGGAATTTCTCTTTCTATCTCTTCCTGCTGGACTTTGTTGGTAATATATAGAAAGGCTGATGATTTATGTGGGTTTATTTTATATCCCCCCCTATTTTTTTTCCTTGAGTGAGGCCAAGGACTCTTCAGTCTCCCCTTTCTGTATTCAGGCTTTCTTGGTAAATTATCTGGCAGCTTGGTGATTAATGTACTTTATTTTTATCTAATGCCCTTCAGACTTGTGATCCTTTGGGACAGGAATGACCTTTGGAGAGGTCATATGGCCCATCCCCCTGTATTGGACGAAGAGTGCTTTTAATAATCCCTAATGCATCCTAAGTAGAGAGGTGTCTGGTCTCTTCCATGAATGTCCCCAGAGAGGGGGTTACCATAGCTGCCCTTTCCCCGTTATTTCAGCTGTTCTTTGAATGATGGTCTCCCCTTACTATGAATCTAAATTTCCCCTACTTTTATTCCCTTCCCCTGAAACAAATGAACATCCACAGTTCTACCAGTCCATTGTAGCCTCTCTTTCTTTTGGCTGCCTGACCATGCCTACCTTTCTCTAGGCCTCTGCTGATTCTGTTCTCCAGAATCAAATCTGTCAATTATGTGACCCTCCCTCTTCTGTGCTTTCTTTCATGCCTGGGGCTAAGTAGAGTGCTCAGATCTGAAACTATGTCAAGGTCTAGTCTGCAAGGAGTGGAATAGACTCATTTCTTTGTAAACTTTAAAGTGCTGTATTAATGTGAGTTTTCCTTTTTTCTCCCCTTAAAACAACAACAGCAACTAACATTAGCATGCTGGCTGTCATCTGAATACAACTCCATTCAGTGGTACATTGACATATTTTGGCAGTTTTGCTGCTTTGTATACACTGTCCCCTGCAAGCTCCCCATCCTCTTCGGTTCTGATACTGGCCCTGGTGCCCAGCCAGGTGTATGCTAGTTTATATTTATACATTTGGTGACTCCTGCCTCCATCAATCACTTTATATTTTGCCCTATTGAATCTCAATAAAGAGATACAATAATATGTGACTTCAATATATAAGATTCAATAAGGACAAATTTCCTAAGATTGCACAGTAGTTAAATTCCATTCTCCACAGATTTGCAATCCCTGCCATCTTTGTATTGTCTGCCAGTTGGATTTGCATAATTCCCTACTCCATCTTTCAAGTCATTAATGAAAATATCAAGTCATCTTGAACCCAGAAGAGATCCTTATGAGTCCCCACGCAGCACTTCTTCCAATGTAGATGTGGAACGCTTAATGATTATTTTTCAACTTTGATTTTGTTTAACCAGCCTTGGTATTTATTCCTTAGTATAGCTGTTCGATTGTGTTCTCATTTCCAGTTTCCCCAAGGAGAGGGGCAGATGGAACAGTATTAAGTGCTTTGGTTACTAATGCCAGGTGATAGATATGTTGTCTATTGCTTTCATCTAGCCACTGGATGTCCTGTTTCAGAGAAATAGTCTATTATTTGAACATGGTGAAGTTTTTTTTTTTGACCCATTCATGGTGCCTCTGGACTTATATTTATTTTCCTGCAAGTAATCACAGTGCTAC